TTGTTTGTTAACTTTATCAATTCTTGATTGAGATTCTTTATTGTTACAATACAGAATATTTTACTGATATAAGCAGGAAAAAATCTAGAAGACAGACAGACAGAAATATTTCCAATATATCCCAACTTTATGGTATAAAACACAGTACATGTACAACAAAACAGCAAGAAAGATCAGCTGTGGCATATGATATTTGTATTTGACATAAAAAAAAAATCAGGCATCTATAATAGAAATGCTTTTTCAAGGGAAGTAACTTGTACCTCCCAATTCAAAAAATACATTTGCATGTAAAAATATACACAGTAAAATTATATTCTTTACAAAAAATATCATTAACATCACAATTCCTTCACCTTTGGTTAAAAAAAAAGTACTAAATCTTGTTTGATTCTTCACATATCACATTAAAAGTACACATAACAAGGAAATATGTATAATGCAGCATGAATACTTCAACTTCTGATAATTGTACACGTTTTTACAGTCATGCATGCAAATTATCTTTTCAATTATCAAACATACATGTATTACATTTACAAAGTACCATAATAAATGGGACTTTTATGAATAATGCCTCTTGAGATTACCTGATAAACCTTATCTTTTTGTCAGTATTGTAGTCCAGGTAATTTTATAAGTCAAATACTGAGATTTAAATGATGATATAATTCTTATTTTGTTTAATACCAGGTGGTAAAATACTGAATACATTACATACAATGTGAAAGACTTTTTTAAACATTATATTGTCCTCAAAAAGAGAAGAGAAGTATAATTTTGACTTTGATGTTTTTACATAAGTAAATTGGCAAGATGGGGTCTAGCTGACATGTAAGAAGAATATATAAATAATTATTAAAAATTAATGTTATTAATTCAACTGATTTTAAAAATATACATTAATATTTTTAGGCTTAATACAACATGTTGTACAGTACAAAAATACCATTATTTACATGCAGCATAGCTTCCTGTAAAACTGGGACAGAATTCCAATACATATACTTCAATGTATCAAGATACAAGATATGACATATGATATCATATAAACTGCTGATAACACAGGTAAACAGATGGTACATGTATTACATAATATAACTGTATCATGATGCATTACATGTGGTTTAGATGGTTTTAGCTGTTTCATGTAAATCATTGTGCATATAAACTGATGGCATCGCAAATAAAAGTATCATTACAGCTTATAAATTGATGGTTTCAGCTGTATCATATATAATACAATTTGCACATGTAATATAATGGTATTTAATCACGTAGCTGTATCATGATACATTACAGCATATAAATTGATTTTAGCTGTATCATATAACACATTACACAAGTAAATTGATGGTATCAAATGTAGAAGTATCATGATACATTACAGCATGTAAATTTCTTCTCTTTGCCTGGAGAGATCAGCTGTGTCGTGTCTTTCGTTGTCTCCAACTCACCCTGAACTGTGTGGTTATTATTTTCAGTGCATGCCTTTTCTTTTTCTTTCTCCTTATTTATAACATCTTCACAAAGACTATAAAAAGCCTGGAAATAGACAAATAATGTATGTTTTACTGATTACTGTAAATCGCTTTTTATTCGCAAGAACTTTATTTGGGCGTAATTACGCGAGACATTGAGCACGCAAAAATTTATTCTCGCGTATAATAGTATTCCTTAAGATTATATAGGGAAATATTAACAATACGTGAAAATTATGTCTCGCTTATAAAGATTCATTGACTATCTCGCGAAAATAAGGTGTCGCCAAAAATTTAGTGATCTACAGTAATGAAATATATTTCATTTTTCCATTTTCTGTACACACACACACATTTGTTCTACATAAGGTAAAATAGCTTGCAGTGTTTTTTGCTATATTTGAATTCTTATCAAACCTTCATAATATATGCTTAAAAGATTGTTAGATATAGCACTTTTTATTTGCATGAATGCAAACACCTGAAAACAATTTTAAAATAAAAAGCAAAAGGAAAAATAGGTTATGTGAAAAATTACATCCAGAATTTAAGCTCCTGTCTATTCAGAATATAACATGTAACATATTTTAGTATGCTTTATTAGTATGTAACAGTAAGTGTGCAACACTATACACAAGTTACAACTTAAAAGATGCAATAAAATTAAACATAAAGAGTGAACTATTAATTTTTCGTGTTTCATTACATTTAATTCATTAAAAATAATCAATAGCTTAAATACAACTCTACCTTTTCTAGATTGACGCTGTCTTTGGCACTGGTTTCATAAAATAAAAGTTTATTTTTTTCTGCAAACTGGAAAAAAAAGCCAAATATTAATAGGAATTTTGATTGTTGTTTGATGACCCCATCTTCTTTGATTTTATGTCATTATTAATCGCATAATGAATACATAATACCTAAGATGTCAAAAGGTTATGATGAGGTCAACAAATGGCTTTTATTAGAGTTATAACCAGACACTTCCAAGTGCAATGAATGATTAACTTTCCTATCCTGTGCTGCTAAAATACATATAGACCTATTTGTAAGAAAAAATACATATAAACCTATTTGTAAGAAAAAAGTTCAGTACTGAAACTTTTTCAATAAATATAAATAATAACTACTATAGAAGTAGATTTTGTAGGGAGACGCAATTTAGCCATTTGTTCAGAAAAAAGAAATAATAATAGAATTTTAGCGATTTTATGTACCTTGAAATATAATGGTTATCTCCTAAACAGAAAGAAATGTTTTCAATTTTAGACATCTCCACATCTTTGTCAAAAATACTCACTAAAATTTTTGCATTTACATAATGGCAATTAATTTTTCATCCTTTCTCCTTAAGTAATGCAATATACTGCTTTTAAGATAATTACTGGTAACACTTACCTGACAAACATTACTGCCTATAGGTCTATTATAAGCATCCCTTTGTTTTTTAAGAACTAATTGACCTTTATTTAAGTTTGACATTATGTTTTCATCAAAAGAAGAACTAAACATTTTGCCCTTACTTCCTGGCCTCTATATCAGCATTTTGATCTTTATCCTTACCACATATTCTGACCTGGCATTCATTATCATCACGTTTACTTTTAATTAGATATGCACCCTGACATTAATTAGATATGCGTCCTGACCTTTTTGGCCTCCTCCTCTGCTACCTGTCTATTATCTTCTTTGTCTTTCTTGTTTCCCATCAACAACACAGAGACATCCTCTCGGGCAAACTAAGTTGACCATTTAAGTAAAAAAATTAATTAATTAATTAAATCAAAAAAATAAAAAAGTCTTGACAATACATTTTTTTATCATTTTACTGTAATGATGTTATTTGTCAATAATGTATAATTTCAAAAAAGCTGATGTAGATATATGCAGTACATGTACCCAGTACCTGAATATATATTTAACTGAATACTGACTTATCACCTTTTCTAACTTTTGATAGACTAGATATTTAATTTAATTAAATGATTGATTACCTGTTTTACATAATCTATCCACTTAGGTAGAGCTTCGAATGACACCTTACTGGTGATATCGTAGACCAAAATGATACCCTGTAAATACAATGCCCTCTCATTAATCTCAGCATGTCACATAACATACAATCAACACAGCATTCCACAGTCTGCAAAACACCCAGGTTATCTCACAAGGGAATTCTGCGATAGTTTAAGTTTTCCAACATTTAAGATAACATTTTTACAGTGCCAGCAAATGACTGTTTCAGGGTCTAAAACTTTACTCTTATTTCTGTTACTTACACTTAGCTTCATAAAAAGGAAAAAAAAACACTAACTGAACACAGTACATGTATATATTGAAGTAATTTCTGAGTCATAAAACTTCCTTCATCAATAAAAAAATAGGACACAGAAAAGGCCATAATAAAAATATTCCTAGATTCTCATCCCCGCCCGCCCCGATTTTATACCCCCGCCTCGATTTTTTTTATTTCTGTTTTTCTTCGTTTTAATTCTGATCGGGATCGGTATTCATCTACCATTCTACTTTCGTTTTAAATCCCGCGAATGTTGACATGATTTTGACAGCTGAAAAGATGGTAATTGCTGTAATACATGCGTATATATTTTAAACAAGGGTCATTGGTTGAAAAATATTGGAGATGATGTGAAGTAAGAGATAACTGAACCTTTACTATGACTTTTATTTGGGTATTGTAGATAATTACACCGATTGACCAGGTCAATAAAAAATCTGCAAAATTGAAAAAAATAAAATATATAAAATAAAAGCCGCCCGCCCGCCTCGATTTTTAAAAAAATTCGGATGAGAATCTAGCAATTTATTTATTATGGCCAAAGCATAATATATCTAAAACAAATTAGGTACAGGAGTTACAAAGGTTACCTATAATGCACAGGAGCTAAAGAGCTGACATATGAAACAAATTAGATACAAAGCTGACATATCAGGTACAGGAGCAACAAAGCTAACATATCAGACACAGGAGCAAAAAAGCTAACAGAGCAGACACAGGAGCAACAAAGCTAACATATCAGACACAGGAGCAACAAAGCTGACATATCAGACACAGGAGCAACAAAGCTGACACATCAGAGACAGACAGAGGAGCAACAAAGCTGACATATCAGACACAGGAGCAACAAAGCTGACATATCAGACACAGGAGTAACAAAGCTAACATATCAGACACAGGAGCAACAAAGCTAACATATAAGACACAGGAGCAACAAAGCTAACATATCAGACACAGGAGCAACAAAACTAACATATCAGACACAGGAGCAACAAAGCTGACATATCAGACACAGGAGTAACAAAGCTGACATATCAGACACAGGAGCAACAAAGCTGACACATCAGAGACAGACAGAGGAGCAACAAAGCTAACATATCAGACACAGGAGCAACAAAGCTGACACATCAGAGACAGACAGAGGAGCAACAAAGCTAACATATCAGACACAGGAGCAACAAAGCTGACATATCAGACACAGGAGTAACAAAGCTGACATATCAGACACAGGAGCAACGGAGCTGACATATCAGACACAGGAGCAACAGAGCTGACATATCAGACACAGGGGCAACAAAGCTGACACATCAGAGACAGACACAGGAGCAACAAAGCTGACATAACAGACACAGGAGCAACAGAGCTGACATATCAGACACAGGAGTAACAAAGCTGACATATCAGACACAGGAGCAACAAAGCTGACATATCAGACACAGGAGTAACAAAGCTGACATATCAGACACAGGAGTAACAAAGCTGACATATCAGACACAGGAGTAACAAAGCTGACATATCAGACACAGGAGCAACAAAGCTGACATATCAGACACAGGAGCAACAAAGCTGACATATCTGACACAGGAGCAACAGAGCTGACATATCTGACACAGGAGCAACAGAGCTGACATATCAGACACAGGAGCAACAAAGCTGACACATCAGAGACAGACAGAGGAGCAACAAAGCTAACATATCAGACACAGGAGCAACAAAGCTGACATATCTGACACAGGAGCAACAGAGCTAACATATCAGACACAGGAGCAACAAAGCTGACACATCAGAGACAGACAGAGGAGCAACAAAGCTAACATATCAGACACAGGAGCAACAAAGCTGACATATCAGTCACAGAAGTAACAAAGCTGACATATCAGACACAGGAGCAACAGAGCTGACATATCAGACACAGGAGCAACAGAGCTGACACATCAGACACAGGAGCAACAGAGCTGACATATCAGACACAGGAGCAACAAAGCTGACACATCAGACACAGGAGCAGCAGAGCTGACATATCAGACACAGGAGTAACAAAGCTGACATATCAGACACAGGAGCAACAGAGCTGACATATCAGACACAGGAGCAACAAAGCTGACATATCAGACACAGGAGCAACAAAGCTGACATATCAGACACAGGAGTAACAAAGCTGACATATCAGACACAGGAGCAACAGAGCTGACATATCAGACACAGGAGCAACAGAGCTGACATATCAGACACAGGAGCAACAGAGCTGACATATCAGAGACAGACAGAGGAGCAACAAAGCTAACATATCAGACACAGGAGCAACAAAGCTGACATATCAGACACAGGAGTAACAAAGCTGACATATCAGACACAGGAGCAACAAAGCTGACACATCAGAGACAGACAGAGGAGCAACAAAGCTAACATATTAGACACAGGAGCAACAAAGCTGACACATCAGAGACAGACAGAGGAGCAACAAAGCTAACATATCAGACACAGGAGCAACAAAGCTGACATATCAGACACAGGAGCAACAAAGCTGACATATCAGACACAGGAGCAACAGAGCTGACATATCAGACACAGGAGCAACAGAGCAGACATATCAGACACAGGAGCAACAAAGCTAACATAGATTTGGAGGCTATTAACCTGACATATCATTAACAGGAGCAACAAAGCTGACATATCAGACACAGGAGTAACAAAGCTGACATATCAGACACAGGAGTAACAAAGCTGACATATCAGACACAGGAGTAACAAAGCTGACATATCAGACACAGGAGCAACAAAGCTGACATATCAGACACAGGAGCAACAAAGCTGACATATCTGACACAGGAGCAACAGAGCTGACATATCTGACACAGGAGCAACAGAGCTGACATATCAGACACAGGAGCAACAAAGCTGACACATCAGAGACAGACAGAGGAGCAACAAAGCTAACATATCAGACACAGGAGCAACAAAGCTGACATATCTGACACAGGAGCAACAGAGCTGACATATCAGACACAGGAGCAACAAAGCTGACACATCAGAGACAGACAGAGGAGCAACAAAGCTAACATATCAGACACAGGAGCAACAAAGCTGACATATCAGTCACAGGAGTAACAAAGCTGACATATCAGACACAGGAGCAACAAAGCTGACATATCAGACACAGGAGCAACAGAGCTGACACATCAGACACAGGAGCACACAGCAACAAAGCTGACACATCAGACACAGGAGCAACAGAGCTGACATATCAGACACAGGAGTAACAAAGCTGACATATCAGACACAGGAGCAACAGAGCTGACATATCAGACACAGGAGCAACAAAGCTGACATATCAGACACAGGAGCAACAAAGCTGACATATCAGACACAGGAGCAACAGAGCTGACATATCAGACACAGGAGCAACAGAGCTGACATATCAGACACAGGAGCAACAGAGCTGACATATCAGAGACACAGGAGCAACAAAGCTAACATATCAGACACAGGAGCAACAAAGCTGACATATCAGACACAGGAGTAACAAAGCTGACACATCAGAGACAGACACAGGAGCAACAAAGCTGACATATCAGACACAGGAGCAACAGAGCTGACATATCAGACACAGGGGCAACAAAGCTGACACATCAGAGACAGACAGAGGAGCAACAAAGCTAACATATCAGACACAGGAGCAACAAAGCTGACACATCAGAGACAGACAGAGGAGCAACAAAGCTAACATATTAGACACAGGAGCAACAAAGCTGACACATCAGAGACAGACAGAGGAGCAACAAAGCTAACATATCAGACACAGGAGCAACAAAGCTGACATATCAGACACAGGAGTAACAAAGCTGACATATCAGACACAGGAGCAACGGAGCTGACATATCAGACACAGGAGCAACAAAGCTGACACATCAGAGACAGACAGAGGAGCAACAAAGCTAACATATCAGACACAGGAGCAACAAAGCTGACACATCAGACACAGGAGTAACAAAGCTGACATATCAGACACAGGAGCAACAAAGCTGACATATCAGACACAGGAGTAACAAAGCTGACATATCAGACACAGGAGCAACAGAGCTGACATATCAGACACAGGAGCAACAGAGCTGACACATCAGACACAGGAGCAACAGAGCTGACATATCAGACACAGGAGCAACAAAGCTGACACATCAGACACAGGAGCAACAGAGCTGACATATCAGACACAGGAGTAACAAAGCTGACATATCAGACACAGGAGCAACAGAGCTGACATATCAGACACAGGAGCAACAAAGCTGACATATCAGACACAGGAGCAACAAAGCTGACATATCAGACACAGGAGTAACAAAGCTGACATATCAGACACAGGAGCAACAGAGCTGACATATCAGACACAGGAGCAACAGAGCTGACATATCAGACACAGGAGCAACAGAGCTGACATATCAGAGACAGACAGAGGAGCAACAAAGCTAACATATCAGACACAGGAGCAACAAAGCTGACATATCAGACACAGGAGTAACAAAGCTGACATATCAGACACAGGAGCAACAAAGCTGACATATCAGACACAGGAGCAACAGAGCTGACACATCAGACACAGGGGCAACAAAGCTGACACATCAGAGACAGACAGAGGAGCAACAAAGCTAACATATCAGACACAGGAGCAACAAAGCTGACATATCAGACACAGGAGTAACAAAGCTGACATATCAGACACAGGAGCAACAAAGCTGACATATCAGACACAGGAGCAACAGAGCTGACATATCAGACACCAGGGCTCTACCACTTTTTGGGACTGGGGCCAGGGCCATTCAAATTGGGAAAATTATCCTCATTTTGGGAAAAGTT